TTTTGCATGTATTGCTCGACTTAATTGATCGTATATTTTATCCATATTTGAACATGAGGCGTCGAATACTTTCATAATAGACGATGAACGTATATAACTACTGTTTTTCGACGTATGTCGTAGCATACGGCTGTTTACGATTGTGCCTGTTCGACCTAGGAGACAACGATGCAGAGAATTCTTTTCTTTATCAAATATGGCATTTCTCAAATTGTATTGATGTAAAATAAAAATGCACTTTGAAAAATATGATCGTCTTGTCAAAGAAAAAATAAATAGTAATTTTTCTCTTCAAAAAAAGTTTTTTTTTCGAAAAGCCAATTGTACTTTTAGGAACCTTGTATAAAGTTTTCTCATTTTTATATCAATTATGGAACAGACTTCGAACTATCGAGTTGTATAGATAAACTTGATAGAAGGCGCGTACATCGCTTCAAGATTTCTTTTGTGAAATAGCAGTTTCTGATTCATATATTAGTTCTAAATTCGAATGTAAAGTTCAAAGTCAGTATTAATTTAGTTAACAATCTCAAAAAATCGACAGGAAATATTTTTGTCTTAATCGGCTACATGCCATGGTAATTCCAGAAGATTCACTGATGAAATTAACACTCAAGTAGAATATTGATTTCCCCCACTATGCCAATGACATGAACAGAGCGGCCAAATGCATTATCCTTTGTGCGGAGTACTTTGACCGTTCCAGTGACCATTAGACAAGGGAGAGGAAAACATCTTGACAAACGGTACTTTCCTTTCTATTGTGATAGTGTTATGACCTGCATCTTCTCCAGACGCAGCCATAAGGATTTTTCCTCTTTCATCTATAGGATTAGATACATATTCATTTATGTTCTGCTTCTTTTCTTTCATAGTTAGTCATGCGCTATGTATTTTTCTTTCCTATCCCATCTGTGTTTATTATGGGTTTTTCCTTTTCTGTAACATATGTTGAACTTTTCTGTTTACTTCTTCCTTTCATGTTGTTCTATGGATTTTTCTTGCTTTGTTTTCCATTAATGGGATTTTTCTTACGTTATCGTTCTATACATATATTCGTTAGATTTTGGCGAAGAGGAGCTAAGATATATGTAGATATAGAAACAAAGTACGAGTGAAATTTCGGTCTCACAAACAGTATTGATTCAACTAAAGTAGTATGCATTTTTTTAATTTGACTTAAATGATAAATCAAGCACTGAATATAAGAAACACTACTTTAACAATACGTATTTTCTTAAAAATATCGCTTCGATCTCTAAGTAATAATAATACAAATTAAGAGATTCAATCGATGATAAACATTTCATATAACTCCTAATGTGATAAGATTTACTCAAGATATGTATGATATACATCATTTTTTCAGATTTTTACCTCTCGATGATAGGTGCAGGGTTCATTTAGTGTTTTACCACATTTTATTCGCCAAGCTATTAGAGAACTTTTACAACAGATTTGATTTATTTCACAGTAAATATTTTCGTTCATATCAATGGAAAAGCAGCGAACTTCAAGAGATTTCGAGACTGCATAAGCGTTTGAGAAACTTTAGCAATCACACGAAATTTCTGTACCATGCACAACACACTACTTAATAGATAAAGATAACAAAGGAATTTCGTTTTAAATCTTCAGTATTTCTTAATAGTAACATGTGATTTTGTTTATTAAAATCAATGGATACATAATACATATTGGCAAAAAACTTTGCATGAAAGCGTCTCTCATGAATAGACATAATCAAACAAAAAGCACAAGACTAAATAAATGGTTTGCTGGTTATTGACTGCTAAAGCTAGCTGTTTATCGCCTGATAGAAACAAAAAAAATGGATTGAACTTCTTCATAAGATTGATATCGAATTAATAGAACATTTCTTTTAGAGAGAAATAAACAATTTCATTAAAAAGCGTTCAATGATTAACTATGATATATTTTTATGTTCACACGAGGTCAGACTTTTCCAACAGATTGACAAAACAATAAAAACTCACATATCTTTTAAAATACAATCATCAAAAACAAGACAATTTCATTAGTTTTCTTATGAATTTTCCATGGACTAAATGTATGTCAAAAATTCCAGACGGCTTCAAAAGACTTCACAAATGAAGTCTCTGTTGTTTTTCCCCTTGATTGATATATATCACATAACATGTTTGCAAGATGTATCTTAGTTACTAGTAGAAACGACTTCTAGAAAATATTTATACTTTCAAACTTATTAATTTTGTTAATCCTACATTTCAGCGACAGACTAATAAAACAATATAATCTGTTTTATCAATCGATACTTTATTAATTTTTTTACAACTAACATAAAGGTAGTTATAGATCAAAGGCTTTGTTTTTTTTTAAATAGTGCTTGCGCTAAGGTACACGCATCGCGAGGAGGAATATAGTAAAAGGTTAATGATGATTTGAAAAACTCGCTTACGTAAATTGTATGATAGAAAAATGTATGTTTCTCAGTACTGAATTATGAATTAATCTTCAAATAATAAATTGAAAAAAAAACTTAAGGTATATTATTTTAAGATGATTGTTTAAATTCTATAAGTTAGCGATCTCTATCGTTTGTTTACATTAAAAAACTATCTAATTGGTTGCTGCCATAAAACTATTTTTGTGTTTTTCAAGGAGTATCGGAATTCGATCAGTGAATTTGTTGTTGTCGACCACGAAAAGAATAGACTAAGAAAGTTTATATTTTAAGGACAAAATATTTCTCATGATTTATTTTAGATCAATATGGGTGGCCCAACCGGAGTACCACAAAGACCACAAACAACAACAAAAGATATCTTAATCGATTTTCTTGCTGGTGGAACAGGTTTGTTTTTCTTCTTTGTATTTAAATAAAATATTTTCTAATTTTATTATTATTTTAGCTGTATGTATTATTGTGATATTATAATTAGTTTTCATTGTGATAATAATTATCGTTATAGGGAGCTATTTCAAAAACAGCTGTTGCACCACTTGAACGTGTTAAACTTCTTCTTCAAACGCAAGATGTAAATCAAAAAATTACACAAGGAAAAAAGTATAAAGGATTTGGTGATTGTTTCATTCGATGTATTCGAGAAGAAGGCGCTATATCATTATGGCGTGGAAATTGGGCAAATGTTTTGCGTTATTTTCCAACAGTAATTTATTTTGACTTTTTTTTTTCATCTTATTAAAAAAAAAATTGAATGAATAAATTTTATTTTATTTAATTGTTTAGCAAGCATTAAATTTTGCTTTTAAAGAACGTTATCAACGAATGTTTGCTAATTATAATCCAGTTTTGAATCCATATAAATTCTTTGCTGGTAATTTATTTGCTGGTGGTATGGCTGGTGCAACTGGTCTATTATTTGTTTATCCACTTGATTTTGCTCGTACACGTCTTGGTGTTGATATTGGAAAATCCATTAGTGAACGACAATTTAAAGGCATGAATGATTGTATTGCAAAAATTTATAAAGCTGATGGAATTCAAGGTTAAATATTTGTTAATAATTAAAATCAAATATAAAAATTAAAATTTATTTTCTTCTAGGTCTCTATCGAGGTTTTGCTATTAGTGTTGCTGGTATTTTTGTGTATCGAGCATTCTATTTTGGTGGTTATGATGCAGGAAAAAGATTTATGTTTGGAGATAATCCAAATCCAAGTATACTCTATCGTTTTCTTTTTGCACAATTTATTACGTCATCATCGGAATTGCTTGCTTATCCACTTGATACGATTCGACGGTATGTTTTTATTTTGCAAGTTCAGTAAAAAAAAAGAAATATTAAATCTTTTTCTTTTGTTTTAGTCGTTTGATGATGCAAAGTGGCCGTGGAGATATTATTTATAGAGGAACACTTGATTGTGCTCGAAAGATTGCTGCTACTGAAGGTTTATTGGCCTTTTTTAAGGGCAATTTATCAAATATTTATCGTAGCGTTGGTTCATCGCTTGTACTCGTTCTCTATGATGAATTCAAACGTTGGCTATTTCTAGCTGGACAAGCATCCTATGCTAAATGATTTATTTTTCCTATTAGAAAAGAAAAACGAGTGGTGCTCTAGAACTAGGAATCATCTTTTTTTTTTTCTCGTCACAACTACTTCTTTGTTTTGGTCCCATTTCTTTTCTCGATCTAGATCATCCATATCCTCTACTTTTGATGCATCCTGATATTTTTGTGTGTCTCGGGGGACAATAGTGACTTGAATCCTATAACTATTTTCTGTTTGTCGAGCACATCACATTTTTCTGTATAATAGATGTTTGGAAAAAAAGGCAACAATAACAACAACATGAAACATTCATTCCTTTTTTTTTTGTGTCCAACCCATTCATATTCTATAATAAATCAGCCAAAGAATTAGATAATTAATCAATCTCAATAAATAAAAATAGAACGAAAAATATACCATTTTTATCTTTATTCAAACGAGTGCCCAGAATCCTCAGAAAACTTGATATATTTGAATGTGAGTGAAAATATTTATAACATGGGCATCTATTACTATCAATAATATAAATGAAGAATTTTTCGATGTTTGCAGTGTTGCATTATTTTATTGCTAGATGAAAATGTCATCTTTAGCTTAATAACTATTTATATCAGTCATCAGTATCTGTTGGATAACTAATTGATATTCGTCAAGTAATTATTTAAAAAGAAAACTACTGCAGTTTACTTCATACATCAATATTTACCATTATAACTCAACAACTAAGTACTATATGATTAAGAATTGAAAAGAGTTCAACATATTGCACAGAGCAGACAAATTTTAACCATTATTCATTTGTAGTATATGAATCGAGTCTTTTTTTTTGACAAGATTTTTTTCAAATAAAAAGTCAACTAACAAAAATAAATCAAATTTATGTAACAAATGATTGAAAACTTTTGTAGATAAAATGTTTGTTCATGTTTGACCAGCTAGAAAGTATTACCGACCAGTGAAAAGCTATGAGCTAGGAGCAGAATTTTTATGGTCTTTTCGAATTGATTCTGTCTCAGTCTTTGTTCGAGAGTAATGAAATAATTTTGGAAAAGTCCAAAAAAAGTAGGTTGGACCGAACTTGTCGGCCGACGTTGTCGGTGAACATAATTATTTCGACCTGCTTAAAAGTATTTTATTAAAAGTTGCGACCAGAATTTGAATATAGTTTTAGAAATGATGAGTCGATAGGTTTTTTATTTACCGTATGAGTCTCTTGTCGAATATGCTAAAAATTGTCGAAGTCGATCAGTTTGTAGCTTTTATCGAATCATTTTTTCCAGAGCTTCTTTCAACGTAAACTAGTTATCGCTTTTTCAAATATGAGTATTTAGAGAAAAACAAAAATGAGCTTTAAATAGTGCATTCTGTAGAGTAACTTCTAATCTGCAATTCAATATATGAATAAATATATCAACTTTTAGGACTCAATTTTTTAACCGGCACTACTAAAACTAATCAAAAAGAAATTCGTTCGATATGAATACTAGTTGAGACATTTATAGGAATGCAAAAACAAACACACGAGACGCTATTTGTAAATCCAAAAATTACCACAACAACAAACACATTGTTCTTTGATATGTATATAAGACATGAATGAGAACTTCATGTTGGAACTAAAATTAATAGAATCACAGATTTTCATGAAACTATATCAAAATCAATTCTAATGAAAAAGTTGAATCAAGGAAAAATAAAGTATTCTGATTATCCTCTATGTCTCTGTTATTTGATTATAGAATCAAAATTAACATGAAATCTAAAAAAGAAAAAGTAGCCAACATTTCATTATTAAGTACATCTAGAACTGATTTGTTTGAACAGTTTAACTCTTTTGAAAAGAGTTGAACACCAGTTTCAGTTTTAAAAACAGCTACTTGAGTAATGCCAGTTTAGTCCTTCGATCTCCAACTGTCACAGATATAACTACAAACCTAGTTTTTTTTCACAAAAATGAAAGAGTTACAGAAAGTATTAATTTCAATTTACATGATATTATTGTAAAAATTAGAAGAGCTATGTATGATTACTAAACGGCATGACTAGCTATTGGTCACCTACATATGAGGAGGATTCGAATTTAAAAGGAAACCATTCTAAGTCTACTATTTGAAATAGAAGCTTTTCTATTCCTGAATAAAATCGAGTGCTCGGGACATGCAAAATCTTTCTTGGAGTTCATGACTTGAAAGTTTGTGTAAAATATGGTAGTGGAATACGTCATCAAACAAGGACCGATCAACAGAAACAATTTCTTCAATTCATTATTAATCAATCAGATACGAAGTACTCTTTCTGTATGTCGTTTGGTTTCGTCGTACATTAAAAAGAATTTCATTTGTTGAAATTTCATAACAGTAGATATTTTCTAAATGGCTCAACTTGAGCTAAAGGAAAATCAATGAAATTTTTACTTATAGTAAATATAAATAATCTCTATTCATAATAAAAATTAAAAAGAATTTGCCTTTGTCATTGACAAAAAAAATGAAACTTCGCAATTCTACGTGACGTCTTAAACTGTTATTTTTTTTTTCATTTTTCATGAAATGTAAACACTTCAACTATTATTCGTGTCGAGCAATTTTCACTTTCCTGTATTAACTTACGCTCGTTGAAATTTGAAAATGAAATTCTATATATATCTCTATATATATATATGTCCTTTTGTCTTCTATTTATTTCCAACAAGCAAAGGTTTTTTTTTTTTTTTCTTTGTTACGATTGCATCACATAATTGACAGAGAATAAGAAACGAAAAAAAATATAGTATGAAACAATAAATAAATACAAAGAACAAAAAACAAAGGAATCGGTTCACTGTAACCTTTTTTAATTCAATTAGAAAGTAGAAAACAAAACTCGAAATGCTAAGCGTAACCACGTACAAAATTATTTAATTTAGTACATGATGGTGTTGCTTGTTGATGAGCTTGACGATAGAGATTATTATCACTCATCATTTTGGCTCGCCATATCATTGATTCTTTATATTGTTGTTCACGATAACATTGATGTCGTAAATCAGATATATATTCATCGATTACTGATGATTCAAATTTATCTAATTCGACATCTGTTTTTGGTGGTTGAAAATCTGATTTAACATAATATTGAATCTTTGATAATCGTGTTTCACGTAAGTTAGTATATTTTCTAAAATAATAAGTTTAATAATAAGAGAAAATAAATTCCATAAATACATGCCCAGTACGATGCAAATGAAATTGAGGTTCACTCACTAATAATGTGCCGATAATTGAAATAAGAAATAAAAAAAAGTACGGTAATAATTGGACAAATGTATGTGTTGTCTACAGAAAAAAAAAGAAAACCAATTAATTTAATTAAAAAGAAATTTAAAAGAACAAACATTTTGTGTTGAATGAGTTGTAAAATGATATGAATGTGTTTGATGGCGACGTCCATGAGTACGAGTTGGTGCACCTATATGATTATCAATTTTCTTATTTTTGTTTTTCAGATATATAATACTAATCATACCAGTATAACCAAAGAAAAGATTAAATATTTCTTCTGCTGAAAAATCATCATCCGCATCACTATAATAATAGTATTGCCGTCCCCCGGTACTACTATGATTATATTGTGGTTCCATTGCATGTCCGTATTCATCATATTGTTGACGTTTTTTTGGATCATTCAATATTGAAAAAGCTTTACCAATAGCTATTAACGAAAAAAGAAATTATAATTAAAACAAAAACAAAAAAATTAGATTTCGCCTTTTTTTTGCGAAATAGATGACCTTTGAAAGCTTCAGTAGCGCCTGGTGCTTTACATTTATCTGGATGAAACTAAATGAGAGAAAACTAATGAATGAAAAAAAATAAAATAAAATATTTGATTCTTCACTTACTTGAAGTGCTAATTTTCTATAAGCTTTTTTTAAATCGGCTTCAGATGCTGTTTTACTAACACCAAGAATTTCATATAAATCTTTGCATGTTTTGATTCTAAAATAGAAAAAACAAAACAAAAATGAATATTAACATTATAAGCAAATATAAAGAAGGATAAATGTGTCGTATATAATATGGCGTTGAAATGTCAAGTTCTTTTATCTACGCATTACTTCTCTGTTAGCTGTCTCATACTAACAAAGAAAGTTCACAAAGTGATAAATCTTTCTTGAAAATAAGTCTTACTTCATTATGTAGACTCGATTAAAACTAGAGATAGTCTAAAAGGATTCGTACAGATCTCTACTTCTTACTCTGGTCGAAGAATGAATACGACCATTTACGGTAAAATACCAACACATTAACGAAGCCATATTTCTCCATAAATGCATGACCAGTAATACTGGATGCGTGATAATGATACCAGAAGACATAAAAACAGTCGTTTGCAGTGCTATGTGATGATTGACATGGGCAGTGTTTTATTGTTTCGGAGTGCAGATACATAGTATTGATGTAAGAAGAAAAATACAAAAATTTCGTACTTCAAAACTATATAAAAGTTATTCTTGAAACAATCCAAAGTAGTACCAGTCTTATATTCACATGTGTCACAAGTATATCAATTTGAGTTCATCTTATATAGATCTTTTTGATAATAAACCTCAAATACATCATCGGATATTTACTGATTATGAAGTCTTGAATTAAAATGAATTCATGATACTATGCTGGTGATAAACATTGATTCTAAAGTGAAAATAGTTACGAAGTTCTAAAAGATAGCTTTGATATACCATTAAATTATGCTGAAATATGAAATTCTGGCTTTCCTTCTTGATGTGGTACGACAACCAAAAAACTTCGCAAAGATCACACATGAGTGAAGGATAACTCGTCTCTAGATAAAAGCATTGGCATTTATCTTTCAATGATAAGTATTTTAGTGGGTTTTTTCAACAAAATTCTATGATTCTGTACATATCTCCTTTAAAATTTACTTTCAAATCTAGAGTTTACACGAATAAAGTACTTAAGGAAACTAGTTCAGTGTGAAAAAGTCGAACTTTCTAGGATATAAGAAGAAAGTTTGCTTTTCCATACAAGAGAATTTTCAATACTGATATTGAAAAGATACTAGACAATCTAATACATTTACAATGCATTTATCCTATTGAACAGTTCAATGCTACAAATTTTCAACTTAAAAGACAATTTTGAAGAAATTTTATTGAAAAAATATCACTTAAAGAATGATTTATCATTTTTCAAGAGTCTCTCATAGGTATTTCTTAGAAGTCGAAAATACCAAAATCATGCAATACAATTGCTTTTTGAACAAACAGATTCTTGCCTCAAAATTGAATTTTAAGTAGCATTTTTCCTATATCAACAAAACAGTCTGCAATTTAAATTTCAATATAGAACAATTCAACTTGATACCGAAAGATTAACACAAACAAAAACCTTTTCCGACGAGTCATTACATTCAAGGCGAACTTTCAAAATAATAAAATGACTCTAAAACAAACACTAATTGATTTAACATTGACACGAACATCAACTCATTTCGTTATTTTATTGTTGTACACTTTGAAACTGAGTAAAAATGTCATTCTATTGTTCTTAATCTATATTGAAAATAGGTTTTTTCTTAACATAGCTCATGTATGTTTATCTATATGTTTGCTTGTCATGCATCATATAACGAATTAATTCACTAGCAAGATCAACAGTGAAATAATAAACATTTGATTAGTTTTCAATTTTAAATTGGGTTTACTTCGTGTCCTTTTTCTAATATCAAAGTATAAAATCTTTATTTGTTTTTGAGTTTTTTTCTATCGACATTTACAGTAACTAATTTGTTTACTTACTTTCGTACAGCTTCTGCTTCTTCAGATGTATAATCATTACTTGATGTTGAAGTTGTTCTATGTCTTGCATGTGATGTTGTACCATTTGTCGTTGTATGATCATGATGTGACGATGATGATGTAGATTCATGAGTTTTATCATGGTGTTTTGAATGAGAGGTTGAATTGTTCATTTTTTCAAGTAGATCTTGAATTCCAAAAAAGAAACTCAATTTAGACTAATATTTTTTTGTTAAATAATTCACCTTTGGCTTTATGTGTTGGAAAAAGGTCTATAGATTTATTTAAATAACGAACAGCTCGTTCATTGTCATTAGCAAGAAATGCTTTTTCAGCAAGTTCTATGTAATGTAAAGCAGCATCTTTATTTGCTTCCATTTGGATAATTAAATGGTATGGATAAATAAAAGCATCGTAAAATAGATAATAATATTACAAGCCAAGGAAAAAAGCGAAAAGCAATAAAAATAAATCGGCTTTAACCAAGCGATAGGATTTAAGAATAAATCTAAGTAACCGATCTGTTAAAGAAAATCATATCAACATAATGTATTTGAAAAGAAAGAAAAAAAAAACAAGACAGAAACTGACTCAACAATGTAGAACTAGCAGACACGTAATCGCTAGTAGTTGCTTTTCTGCGCCCGACAAATAATAACAATATTATAAAGGTCGCTTTAGCATCTGATTGGATTGATTTATAACCAATATATATAGACTGTGGCGTTTCAACGATAGATATCACTATTTCACATGAAAAACAAAACCAAATAATGAAATAAGTTGAAGCAAATGTATTTCTTTAAAATTTTACGAAATTTTTTCTTTTTCATGCACTTAGACTTTCAAATATATCATAAGAATCCTTTTCTTGTTAGTATTGATTAGTTTTACACTTGAAAATTGTATTATAGAATGAAGCCGTTGAAAGACAATAATGAATTCATAACAATTCAATAAGCAAGAATTATTTGAAAGAAAAATGTGATGGGCAACTCGACTGTTACTCCTGCAACTTCTCTCACTCGTATTAATACCACTACTTCTGCTCGTCGCACATCTGCCTTTGTAATTAATCCCGATAATTCCGCTACTTCTAAAAAGTCACCTACTTCTCCTGTTCCATGGAGTTCTGCCAATGAAGTAGTTCCTGTAACTTCTACAGCTGCCAATATTTCTCCTACTGATAAGACTTCTATAACTTTTCCAAATCCTGCGATTTCAGTTGTTTCTCCAACATATGCCGTTTCAATTGATTCTCCAACATTAGAGATTCCACTTGTTTCTCCTACTCCATCTGATAATGATATTCCTGAGAGAGCATTCAATTTCAATGTTGTGACTAGTCCTGATACGTCTCCTGTTCCTCCTACAATTAATACTCCTACTGCTCCTATAAAATATGTTTCACGTCCTATTGCTATAACTCCTGTTAATTCTATCATTTCTCCTACTGAAATTCGTTCTACTGCTTTTATTACAACTGATGCTTCTGCTAATCCTAATATTCGCGTTACATCCATTACTCCTGTTACACGTACAACTCCTCTTCCTACTAAAGGTTTGTATGAAATAATAAATTACAAATCATATTGAAATCCGAAAAAAAAAAAACTTATTTTTAGTTGTTCCCAAACGAACAGTATCTAGAACTTCAACATTGACTCGTGAACAATCAATACCGATTACTTTATCATCTGCTGCTCGATCAAATAAATGGAATAAATTTGAACAAGAAAAACAAGATAAACAGAAACAATTATTTCATGTAGTTCAACAAGCTCAAAATACAGATCTATTCACATCAACATGGACAGATTCCGATAATAATAAAAAATTAGCTTCTACACCTCCACATATTGTAGCTTTACCAAGCTTTGCATTGCGTACAACAGCTGTAAGTAAACCTTCACAAGATGATCATATTTTATTAGAACGAACACAATCAATGCATTCGAATATATCAATATTTAAATTTTATCTAGATCAAAAAGAAACCAAATCATCAGTAAGAAAAAAAGAAGATCTTTTATTATATTATTTAATCTAATCTAAAATCATAGATTGGTAATCATACAAAAGCAACAATGTTTAAAATGAATACTCTTCTTAAACAAACACCTTTTCCAAGTCCATCTTTATCGTCTTTTACTAAAAATTTCAATGATGGTACACCTGAAATGGATACTAATTCAATAGATAAACCTACATTTCAATCACTTGGTCTACAGAATGATTTCGAAATAGAACGTATCAATCAATCAGCACCAAAAGATTATTCAAATAAAAAACAACAACGAAATGTTTGAATATTCATTATTATCTATTTTTAATATCGGTTAATATCTTTCTATTGATAGATTTTTCGTACTTCATCATTCTCTGATTTAAATTCAAATAGCAACAATTCTTTTCAATTTCTTTCTTCAACTATTCTTAATCAACCAAATTATTCACTGATGAATAGTATACCAACACAAAATAATCATCAACCATTAACATCAATATCAAAAATACCATCATCTTACGTAATTAATAATCCTCATTCTACAGAAAAATACAGTAAAGCACTTCAAGAATTTCGTAAGTAAATCAAATATAATTTATATTGTATAAAAGAATAATGTTGTTCGTTTAGAAAAAAATGATTTGGAAAATTATCGATCAACAGTATCAGTTAATGTCTTACCACCAACAATAAAACCTGGTCAAAGTATATTAAGAAGTGAAAAATTATTTTCTAACTGGTAATATAATCGAAAAAAAAAGAAATTTTAACATATTGATAATTTATTATTAATTATGGTATTTAATATCTCATATCGAACAATATTTGATTATAATATTGATAATCTTCAATGAAAATTATTTTCATTTAAGTTATTTTTGTATTTTGTATTAAAAAAAACATTGAAATATGTATTTCGAAATTAAAGTAAAACTTTGAATACACAACAAGATAAAATTGCAAACTATAGTAAAAAAGAATTTTCATATTAGAAACTATATGTAGTTACGAATAATCATCTCTTGTTTCACGATATTAAAAATCTGATCATATATTCAAAAATAGCAAAAAGTTCTCATTTTAATTAATTGCTTTTGGTTCTAACTAGTTGTCTTCTCTTAGTCGAATAATGATCTAATGTTTTATGTCAAAACTTTCAAATTATTGGTTAATACATATATAATTATTTTGTAATTTTTTCTTTTTATTTAAAAAAAAGAATGTGGCATTACATATAAAAATGAGATGAGTCGAGTAACAACCGTAAGCCAACAATATATATATCACCGACAATAATAACAACAACAACAAAAAAAAGCAAATACAACCTACGCAAAAAAAAAAAAGAATGCCAAAAGTTCGACAAATCTAAAGAAAGTCAATTAAAATTCTTCATGATCATGATGTAATGCTGTTGTTGCAATAGTTTCATCACATGCTGATGGTGTTTCAAATAACATAGCATATTCACATCGTGTTGGTTCTCTTACATCAATTATTTTATGTTCAATTCCACATTGAAATGTAACTGTTAATGATCGAGCTGGACCATTCCAACATGTTGCACCATTTGAATATTTCATTTTCAAATATTTATTATCTGTTGGTCCACACCATGAATCCCAATATCCAATTGTTACATCACTACCACCACCTTTTGAAATTTGTTTAGCATCTTTAAACATACATAATCGATATGTATATTCACGTTCTTCATAATCATAACATTGATCAATAAATGCTGAATATTCACCCTGTATTCCAACATCAACTTCAGCTTGTCTTTTTAAATCACTAAACAAACAAAATTAATTAAAAAAAAAAAAAAAAAGTAAACTAATTATTAGAATACAAACTCAATTTGTCGTCTCATATCATGAGTTTTTCTTTCAACATCATTATATTCATTTCGAGCATGATCAGCTAATTCAATTAATCTCTTTGTTTCATCGTCATATTCTGGTGGTATATCATCATGAATATGTTTTTCATGATCAAGTGACTAAGAATAAATATAAAACAAATTTCAAATAAATATTTCTTATTGAATTTTCTTACTGTAGCAATATGTGGTGGTATTTCTTGTTGACTAAGATCATCTTCATAATCACCTTCTTTAGCAGCTGCTGTCGCTTCTTCTTCTTCTTTGAAGTGTGCTTCGGCTTCTGCTTCTTCTTGTTTTAGACCTTCTTTTCCTGCTTCTTCTTCTTCTTGTTTTAAATGTGCTTCTGTTGTTGCAACTAAATCATCTACACCAACAGGAGTTTCACTAGATGGTTGTGATAATTTTTGATAAGAATTTGATATTTGTTCAAATACAGTTACATTAAATTCATTAAAATTAACAGAATCAGCACCAAGAATTGACTAATGGATAAAAACAAAAGAAAAATTGTTAGTACACAATTTCTAATGAATTAAAATGTGAAACATGATGTAATTACTTTTGCTAACTACAGTGAGATTGATTTATTCTATCTATTTCGGGACACACTTTCTCAATATCAATGGGTGGCCTATAACGAATGAAGGTCTCCATGTTTTCTCGATATATTCTCTACAAAATCATACACCAATGTAACTTAATAAAAAAAAACACAAAAAAGTTGTTGTAGTTGAAATGCAAACATACAATATTAACAACAATCACAAGCACTTCGAAACAACGGGTCAGAATAAATGCCCTTTTCAGTATGTCTTGCGATTTTCAAAGTTCTGCACTAAACGTCATTCATTTTAAATAAAAGAACTGCGTTTTTTTTTATTTGAAAAAAAAATTAATAAAGCTTATTAAATGCAATAAGATTTTTTCATGAAAATTCTTGAAGATATTAATAAGATAGAGCTTTTGAAGTTCTATACAATGGATAATATAATTTGTTTATATACTTCGACATGAAAACACTTCAATACAGGACAATTTTATTTTAAGTTTTAAAGTTGTATATTCACAGTATTACTATACTAATTATTCTGTTTACTTTTATGTCTATGACATCAATTTGTATATGCCTATGTAAGGAATTAAACGATGCATCTTTTGAGGAAAAAGTGCAGTCTAAATCTACGAAAACTAGAGAAGATATTGATGAAATATGCAGACTCTCATTTAGTATGAGCCATCCGTTAGTTCATATATAATAGCGTCTGTCACGGTCTCTGGCTCGTGTTTGCTATGTTCGTGAAGGATCGAAATTTTTATCCCTATACTCTTAACGTTCTTTTGAGAGAGTGCTTTCAAATTATTGAAATCAATGACATACTCGAACTTCTTCAACTGTAAATTCATTTTCAAGATCATTATCAAGTTCTGTATGTTTTTGTAATTCTTCAATTGATACTCTATTAGATAAAAGAAAAGAATTAGATTCGTATGTATGTTAAAGATCAAAATATTTACAATGAATCATTGTTCGTATCTAAATCAACAAACATTTCATGCATTTGATTATCACGTGCAATAGCTTCACGTATAGCACGTTGTTCTAATGAATAAAATTAAGAATATATATTTGAAAAAATTATTTATGTATAAAATAAAAGTACCATCCCATAGTTTTTGATGTTTAGCTTTGGCTTCATTTTCTGGAATTTCCGCTTTTTGTTTTAGTTCTATTGAGAAGAAGAATAATTAAATCTTTTTGTTTTTTTAAATATTCTTCATTTTGATTTTACCTTCTTTTTCTTTTAATTCATTTTCAAGTTTTTGTAAATCTTGTTCAAATTCATTAAGACGCGTCTAAAATAAAATCGTTCATGAATCAAATTTTAGTTTTAGAAACTTAAATTTACTTCTCGAGTAGATTTAGTAAGTTCTGATTGAGCAATAATTTGCTTCTTTGTGATTACACCTGCTGCATGTAATGCTCGTTTTGCTTCACGCTCAGCTTTAGTTTTTTGAGCTAATTCACTTTAAATAATTCAATAAACAAATAGTATTTTATTCTTATCTATTAAATTACTTACAAACATGTATTATTACACACAATTGTTGTTTCATATTCATCAGAACCATCACAACAATCTATATGAATAGAAAAACAAAATGAAAATAATCATCGATCTCAATCACATTTTTTTTTCTAATCGAGAACCGAAACAATAAACACGAGAACGTTCAGCATACAAAAAAGAATGGTAAAGAGGGTGTTACTTTTCTCTTTATTCTTATCCACACTCAAACTTTTTACATTCATATACACCTCTTCAAAAAAACTTATAATGAATTTCGCCACTTTATGCTTGAAAAATATGCTTTGTGTTTTGATCGCGTATCTCAGAATTCTTGAAGGAACCTCATTGCTTCTTTCGGTTGAAAGAACGTTTGAATTTGTAGTGATAGTTTTTTGCATTAAGCTTCTTTTATTATTCTATAAGGAACGTACTTCTATAAATTTCTCCGTATCAAAAGTGAAAAATTTAAAAAAAAAAGGAGCACTGAAATCTTACATGCTCTTTTAAATAAAAAAAAATAGCTAAATCTATAAAATGAGGACTCATAAATAGCTTGGAGTTCTATAAAATATCTCTTGAAAACACTATTATACAGGGATGAAAGTTTTAGCATAGGCTCTTCATTACAGCTCCAACATATACCATATTGCTTGAATGCATCGGATCTAAGGTGTATTTTTTTAAGGGTAACCTTAACTTTCCTCTTTGACTCATATTCGCTAATCTTATGGAAAACATACCACATACACCATCGCCAACCAAATGTGATGGTATTAATGCACCAATATAACCTTTATTTTCGCAAAAAAATTGTCCATTTGGACAAGCCGATGTTCCTGGTTCATCACTTCCGTCTAAAATACAATAACAAAAAAAACTTTAAATAAATAAAAAAGAACTTTCATTAATTTATTTACCTCGACAATCACAATAATCATCATTAACAAATTCAAATGGAATTGTTGATGAATCATCAAGACAAGAAAATGATTTTGATGGAACATACTTTAAATGTACTAAATTTTCAAAGATATGCAATGAAAAACAAATAGGATTTCGAATAATATTTACATGAAGTTGGTACACCACGTAACGTTGCATGCTGGACAGTTCCACAAGAAATTATCGTGAAAATACTTGAGATAAGAAAGAGAGTCACATAGGACGACAGCATCATTGAATCCAATTGAATTCAAAAATGAAAAAAAAATATTTATATGGATGTCCAACATCTGTTCTGTTCAAATTTCATTGGTTAGTCATGTCAACAAATCAATTCATATAGCTAAAAGGTGGAGTTACTATAGTAACAATACACCCCAAGAAAAAATGTTTTTAATGCTTATATATGATGTTCTTTTGTTTTTGTTTCATTCTACTAAATAATATAAACTGTAAGCACAGCATTTTCCACTGATGCATTTTGCAGCATTATTGTTAAGACCAGTGAACGTATTAGAAACCTACGGTGGTGTCTTGTTTTTCTTGTCCATTACTTAAATCCTTTTATATTCAAAGAAGCTAGTAATATTGCTACAAGAGTCCTTATTGTAGATTCTTTATATGCCTCTAGGCTTCAACGCTTCATCCCTAGTAATTTTAACGTGAATGCAGCTAAGGCTATAACAGATTATATTCTTTAGTTTCTTTGTTAATAAAGTTGCTTAAACAGTGTTGAATTCGGTCAGTACATAGTTCTTAAAGGATGAGTGAGTAAAATTTCTTGCATAATGGTTTTGCAATCACTATTGATCCACATCAATGAATTTGATACTTGTATGGATTCTCGCTAAAATCATAGGCCATTTGATTCAGCTAGTAATTCTTACAGCACGTATCGGTTTGTATGCATGCAAAAGAGTAAGAAGAGACGATTGCATTCATGCAGTTGAGTGGAAATTAGGAAGTCTAGGGCTTACCAGTTTATGTGTATTACTCCTCTGCATCATTGACTTGAATGTATCTTATGTTAGTACTGCCTTCTTTTATTATTTATATAAATTTCTGAATGATTCTATTTTCTGTTTGTTGAAAAGTAAAAAAAAAAAAGTAAGTCATTTACAGTGTGACTGGTTTTGATTATAGATCGTCGTATCTACGAATGATTTATTAACGTTTGACGAACAATAGTTAAGTCAAGTTGATCATCTTTAGGATAGCAATAGTAGATTATAGATTAATTTGAACATAACAAAAAAAGATTATGTTGAGTTTTTTTTTTCATTACATTTAAATGAAGTTCTGTCTGCGAATTACATCTGACTCTGTTTTCAAATTTTAGGCGTATTAATTTTTGAAGAATTTAATGCATTGCATATTATCATTTAATCGTATAAAATCTCAAATTCGGTGTGAAAATATCCAAATAATTTCACTTTCTAAAATTGTTCTCTTGTTGAGATATTCATATAAACATAAAGATTCTCAAAGCTTACAATGAGAGTTATTACATTGTTACTCAGATATTGTGTATTTAAATATACTATGTCTGAACGATGATATAATGACTGTCATTGTTCTACTTTGAGCGTCTTTGTTGTTGCTTGAATACCTTAACAAGAGAACCATTTTTGAAAATAAAATTATAGAGATTTTTCGTATCTCACTTGAGATTACATACAAGTAAAGTTTTATCAAAATTTGTAATATCAATCAAATAAACTTGTTTATGGGTGTCGTGCAATTACCTCTAAGGATTAAAGAAAGGTGCAAATTAAGAATAGAATATTCGAGTTCTTGCTCAAATTTTTCTGATAAGAAATTTATTACATTGTTTATAGTGACTGAAAAAAAGTGTGAAATTAGCTATTGGATCTATTTTAAATGGATTTACACAATTGGTGAGTCTCAATGCATTGCCCATTGAAGAGAAGTTAACGAGTTGTTCTTAAAAATCCAGAATGAGTGGATGCTCATCTATAACTTTCTATGCTACTATTTACAACATGTTGTTAACGGCGTATGAATTGCTTTGCTATGGTGAATCATGTAAATATTTAAATAGTAGAAGGTTGATTTTTCAATATCTATGGCAAGTAGAAGGAGATCGAATGGTTGTGACGATCGAACAGGTGTACTAATGATTACTATTCATTTTTCGAACTCGCAGGAGTCAAACGGTAAGAATCCTATGCTGATATACAACGTCATTATTTTGAAATCATGTTCATTTTTCTCTTACAACATAATGTAAGTTTTTATTTTAGAGTATGAAATCATCGTATTATTTAGATATTTTGCGTGGACGATCTCAACAATTACCTGATGTTCGATCAAAAATTGTACGAGTTTTTGTTAGTTCAACGTTTACAGGTTTAAATTTCTTTAAAAACGATGTCTTTCATAGAAAAAAAAAAATTATTTTTTTTAGATACATTAACTGAACGAGATTCTTTAATTGAAAATATATTTCCTAAACTTAAAGATTATTGTCGTGAAAAATATGGATTAGAATTTCAGGTTTGTTATTATAATTTCAATTAATTACAAAAAAACACATCTTTGTATTACTAGTATGCTGATATGCGATGGGGAATTCAAACTGAATCAGCTAATAATCATGGAGAAGTTACAACATGTATAAAAGAAATTGAATTATGTAAAAAATATTCTGTTGCTACTAATTTTGTGGTTTGTTTTTATTGACAAAAATCAACTATCTATTGATCAATTGACATTAGGTATTACTTAGTCATCGTTATGGTTCACGACCAATTCCAGCTCAGATTCGTGCATCATTATTTGATTTATTAAAAGAAACTGTTCTTAATGAACAAAATGAAAATCATGATGCTGAACTATTAACACAATGGTATCAACTTGATACGAATTGTATGCCACCTGCATATATTTTACAGAATATTTCATCAATTATACCACATTTTATATCAAAAGTAATGAAGAAAGAATTTTTTTTTAAAGAATTGTTGTTTCTTTTTTTTTCACAGAATACAGATGAAGTAAAACAGGCAGATAAAGAATGGAAAGATATAAATAATCGTATAAGACTATGCCTTCGACAAGCAGCAGAAACATGTCTTCAACGAGGACAAATCACAGAACCTGATTATGATAATTTTTTTATATCGGGTAAGATTTTTATTAGTTTACTTATTTATATAAATTGATTCTTAGTTACGGAAAAGGAGATCATCAATGGTATTCTATCAGCAAAAGATGCTAATGAACGTACTTTATGTTTTTTACGTGAAATTGTTGATATTCAAAATCATTTATCAGATGAAAAGGTACGAAAATATATCGATATATCATCAGAAACAGTTATTGATCAAGAAGCTGAAAAATTACTCGATCGATTAAAAAATGTTCGTATTCCAGCTGTATTAAAATCTCAAAACATATTCAAATATAAACTTCATTGGTCATCAAATGGAATTAACCGACAAGAACATTCTCAATATATAGAAGAATTTAATAATGATTTTTATACAGCAATGAAAGAACAAATAGATCGATGTGTTCAATCACGTTATACAATTGGTTCTGATAGTTTACAACATGAAGTATTAGAACATGCTATACAATGTAAAACATATGTTGCTAAATTTCATGGAAGAATTGATGTCTTATCTAAAGTATGATAAGAGATATTACATTCAAAAAACAAAAACAACTTTTGTTTTTCTAGTTGGAAAAATTTGTGAAAAATAATATTGAATATCGACCATGTGTTGTTTATGGTGAATCTGGTTGTGGAAAGACAAGTGTAATAGCTAAAACGGCAACAGAGGTTAGTTAACTTAAGTTTGACAAAATCTTCAAATACTTTCAAACTTAATTCAAGATATTTAAATGGTGGCCTAATCGATCTGTTTCGGTTATTTTACGTTTTCTTGGGTATGTTAAATCGAATGAAACGAAAATAAAAAGGAATTGACATTCTTTAATTGATATAGAACTACACCAGTTTCTTCAACTATTTATAAAACTTTACTTTCTATATCTGGACAAATTTCTGAATTATATAATATACCAATGACCGCCTATCCAACTGTAAATCAACTTCGTGATCAACTTGAATTAAATCTTCTTTCTCAAATACCTGATAATGAATATCTTCTTATATTACTTGATTCAATCGATCAATTACATAGTGATGCATATGATTGTAAATGGTTACCAATAGAATTTCCATTCAATGTTAAATGTATTGTATCAACATTACCTGATCATGGAAATATTTTAGAAAATTTAAAACATATTTTAATTGAAAATGAAAATTTATTTATACATGTTCCACCATTTGAACCATCAACAGTTGAAATAGTTTATAATGATTGGCTTGAAATGAAACAACGTTCATTAAGTACAGAACAACGTTTATTTATAAATAATTTAATGAATAAAAAACATAATATTCTTCCATTATTTATGAAACTTATGTTTGATATTATATCTTATTGGCATTCATATGATTCAATTGATGAACGATTAAATCAATTGAATGATGTTGATGATTGTATACGTTATTTATTTCAACGTTTACAAACTATACATAATAGTGTTTTATTTAGTCGAGCATTATGTTATATGACAGCATGTAGAAGTGGTATTAGTCAAAATGAGCTTGAAGATGTTCTTTCACTTGATGATGATGTACTTAAAAGTGTTTTTGAACATTATATACCGCCTGTTCGACGTTTACCAGGAATTTTATGGACACGAATTCGAAATGATTTAGATGAATATATTACTGAAAAAGAAGTTGATGATGCACCTGTTATTTATTGGTATGGATTTTATTTTTGAAATTCTTATAGGAAGTTTTTCAAGAACATTAGAGATTTTTATTTATTTTTTTCGAAAGATACAAATTTGTTAAATACAAATGATTAGATTTCCAGAAAAAACATCCTATACGCAATAATCTTATGTGTTAATGTTAGCTTGCTTTGTCTCAAGATGATGTTGAAAAAAAAAACAGGCATTGATGCACTGTAGATCAGGTTTGCCGTAAATTCAAAGAATTGTGCAAAAAATCAAGAACACAAAGAAAGTAAAAAAGGCAAAATTTCTGAGAAATAGGAAATGTAAGATGATCTAGTTTCTATTAGTTACAATAGGTCTGTTCGATACATTGTAGAAAAATATACAAAGAATCGATCAAACCTTTAAGAAAAAGCTTTTTAATAAGAAGAGTTACAAAATAAATCATTA